AGAGTGCAATGATAGAAAACTTCTTTCACACCTACAGACAATTATTCACAGGTTTCTATCATTGCACGCTCAACGGCAGGAGCGGCTCCTGTCAACGGTTGTCTCGCTTTGATGAAAAGGCACGGTCCTTTGAAGATGGCGCAGGGAACTGTGAAGGAGACTAGTCTCGCTATTATCACCCTACTGGGACAAAACCAATCCCTCCTGACAAGGTACGACGATTACCCCCGACCCCTTCTATGCACCTCTGGGATGCATTCCCTTTGTATTTCCATACCTGCAGCTTGAATTACAGTGTCATTTGCACAAAATCCTCCTGAAGAAGTGTTTTCCATGATATAATTAATCTTTTCCTTGTTTGTTGAAAAAATATAAAGCGCAAGAGGCTTATCTCTGTCGTTAATAAACTCAACAGCTTCATCAAGGCTGTTGACATTGAGTATTGGTAGAATAGGTCCAAATATCTACAAAAAAAGGATAAAAAAAGTTGAGCAAAGATAAATTTTACAAATCTAAATCGTCCACGCCTTAATGGCACGTCACCAACCATCTTACAATGCTGTTGTGGTTGGGAGTTTTGGTTATATTATAGTTTGTGGAGGGAAATGGTTAGGGAGCCTTTTGTTGTAGGTTGTTGTGCACTTTTTTCCAAGAGTGACAGAGTGACTCCCAAGCTATGCAGGGCTCATGTCCATCACCGTCATCTTTGATTTATTGGGCCCATGCACATGAAAGCGTTCTTCAGTTACCTCGCTTTCCATAACAGGATCTGATGGTTTAATCCCTGTAAGTACTGTAGGACTAATAAACCTGTCTTTTTCATCGGTCTCTCCACCAATCACACACTCTCCATGGGATAACAACTTCTTTAGACGTCTACAAAAAATATATGTTAGTTGAACAGATCTTAATTTGAGTCTACAATGATTTTACTTCAAGAACTACAGTATACACATATTTTAAAATGCTTTGTAAGTAGGTAAGACAAAAGTCCTTAAGTTCATACTGGAAATGTCTGTCATTTATTATTCTTCCAAAGTTTGAAGAATCTCTTGCATCCTAAACAAAACAATAACAATACATTAACAAGCTCAACCAACCTAACAACCAATCTGTCAATCAATCAATCAATCAGTCCATCAATCAATCGACAAATCAATCAATCAATCCTTTAGTCAATCATCCAATCAATCAATCAATCAATCAAAGAATCTATCTATCACCCAATCTGTCAATCAATCAATCCTTCAGTCTATCATCAAAGGAATCAGTCAGTCAATCAGTCGGCTAATCATAATAATTATACCTCTCCATAGAATTCAAATAATGTTTCCTTCAAATGTTTTATTAGTTTTGCTTGTATTCCTGGGCTGCATAATACATAATCAGGTGCTACACAAGTCTGTTAAAAAGATAAAATCATACACATAAAACAGAAATAATAAAAAGTTATTAGGTGCTTAGAAAGTAGGTTATTCTGGGAGAAAGACACTTAGAAATAAACTCTATAAAATTAAATTCTGAACTTACCGGCATTCTTGTAGCTTTAACAAATTTACAATCAATCAAAATAATACTGTAGCAAATGAATGATCTTACCCAGGGACCGTGCAGAGTATCAAAAACGAAATTTAAGGACTTTTCAAGGACTTTTCCAGGACCAAAATTGTATTTTCAAGGAGCATCAAAATCATGCTAATTGTACATTCTTACCTCAAAACTTCAGCTGAACGGAATAATTCAGAGATTGCTAGTGCTTCGTGATAGAGATCCATCCTTTTTTCAGGAGTTTCCAAGGACTTTTTCGAAATTTTCAAATTTTCAAGGAGTTTCAAGTGCCCTTGAAAACGAGTTTTCAATTCAAGCACTTTTCAAGGATTTAAGGACCTGCACAGACCCTGTCTTACCATAATAAGTGAAGAGCTCACCATATGCTGTCCCAGTAGCTCAGTGGTTAGAGCATCTGACTAGAATACGGAAGGTTGTGGGTTCAAATCCCATCTGGAGCCCAGATTTTTTTCTGAGCTCCTCACTTACTAATGGTAAGATCATTCATTTACTACATCTATTAAACCACCTCAGACCACATATATAACCACTTGTAAAACTCATGAAGAATTAACGAGGAAAACACAATAGAAATCACAGCCGTGAAGAGTGTTGTAATATATTTGATACAAAACTGTCTTGATTTGCATAAACTTCAAATCTAATTTTCTCAGCCAAATTCAATTTTATCAGTAGGTTTTTAGTAGTTTATCCATGTATACACCTAAACGTTTCACAAGTCATTTACAACATTCGCGTCCATGTTGTATGGGCTTTACAATCTCTCGCCTTCGGCTCATACAACACCGCCGCTCATGTTGTAAACATTACATATATATTCAAACTAATACTGTCTATACCTGCCCACTATTGCTAAACTTCCCCCAAGCAAGTCTGTTTGCCACCACAGCTAAATCACATTCATCATCAATGTAACATGGGCTGATGGAAAAAATATTAAGGAATTGTTATAATCACATTATCTACATCATAAATCATCTCTATCATCAACATTTTCCAGGGTTCATGCTATATTTTCACGACAAAATTCCAGGACTTTTCAAGTACTTTTTAAGAGTCGATTTTCAAGAGTCGATTTTCAAAAACAGCCACATTTCAACCCAAAAGCTAACAAGCAATTTTATCAGATTCAAGGAGTTTTCCAGGAGTTTGAACGATTTTTCCCTCTTTCAAGGACTTTTCAAGCGCCCTTGAAAATGAGTTTTCAATTCCAGGACTTTTCAAGGATTTCAAGGAGTAGCCTGAACCCTGATTTTCACTAATTAAGAAGAAGACAAAAAGAACCTTTTTCCACCAAGCTCTAGTGTTACTCTTGTTAGATTCTTTGCTGCGGCTTCCATGACTAGTCTACCAACTGCTCCACCACCAGTATAAAATATCTTATCATATTTTTGTTTCAGGAGTTCTTGTGTTTCTTCGACTCCACCTAATACTACAGGGTAGCAATCCTGGCAAAGGGGAAACATTAGAATGTACATTATAAAACTCATGAATAGTTAATGAGGAAAACACAATAGAAATCACAACCGTGAAGAGTGTTGTAATATTTGGTAAAAAACTGTCTCGATTTGCATAAACTTCAAATCTAATTTTCTCAGCCAAATTCAATTTTATCTTGAAGTTTTTAGTAGATTATGAATGTATACACCTAAACATTTCACAAGTAATTTACAACATTTGCGTACGTGTTGTATGGGCTTTACAATCTTGTAAAATCCCATACAACACGGCCGCTCGAATGTTGTAAATATTACTTATTAATTGGAATAAAGTTTCACATTAACTCCCAAACAATTAATATTGGTACAAATATTTATCAAGGATCTTATTGATCTTATCATTGATCTTATCAAGGAAAAGGAAGGGTATGGATGTCAAATCCATGATGGTTCATTAGTTTATAATATTTTTTAACCATAAATATATTTATCTAATATCTATACATTGTAGCTAATGTTTCATACATTTATTAATAATTATTGTGTATGAATCAATTATACTGAATTATTCACTCAATTGATTTATCAATCCATCAATGAATCATCTTTTATCAATCAACAATTAATCATTCTATCAATTAATCAATCATTCAATCAATCTATCTATCAATCAGTTAATCTATCAATCAATCATTTAACCAATCAATCACTCATTTATTCATTCAATCAATCAATAAATCAACCAACCAAACGATCCATATCAATCCATACATCCAACCAAATATGAATTCCTTACCTCGTCCAGATACTTGGGCAGGAGTGTCTTGATAAGATCAGCTGTTGCCGATGCAACCTCAGAGGGCTTGATGACAGCACAGTTACCTGCTGCAATAGCACCAACAAGTGGAAGTAGAGTCACTTGAATGGGGTAATTCCATGCACCTATTATGAGGGCCACGCCCAGGGGTTCACTTCTAATCATACAGGTATCCATTTTGTTGAGAAGACCTTTTTCTGTGTATTCTGGTTTCATCCAATCCTCAAGGTTGTTAAGAGCTGAAAAGTTAAGGTTTAATATTTCTTTAAGAGCTTATTAGAACATAAAAGGTATATAAAGCCTATTCCAAATGCTTTGTTTGATGACAAGTGTTTGACTGTCAAACACTTGTCATCAAACAAAGTATTTGGAATAGGCTTTATATACATTTTATGTTCTAATAAGCTGATAAAAGAAATATTCATTGAAGAAAAAAAGCATTGTTATTAAATTTAATTCATGTTGATCAGTGTTGGTGTTTCAGAAGTTGTTTACAAAATTGGTGTCTATGTTGTATGGGAATTACAATCTCTCTCCTGCCACTCAATACGATACAACCACTAGTCACTCATACACACTTTGCATTTTGCCACTGAACTGAAGAAAATCGCAGTTGCGATCGAAAAGTTTTCATTAAAATTGTTTTTTTTTCATGCTAGAGACAACTCAATTTCTTTATCATGCAACATCCTAGCTGCAACTTCAAAATAAGACCGCTCATGTTGAGAACTACATGTATGTACATAAAAAGGAGCATAATTGATCACAATTGGAGACCAAGAAAAAACTGCATGTTTCTGGCTTTATGTACTGACCTGTTACAGCATCATTTTTAACCATAAATACCTCTCCAATAAGGCCCTCGAAGCGTGGCTGTAGAATTCAAAATATCAATTTTAGCTTAAACCACAATGTCAAATGTTATACAGTCAATCCAAACAACGGTGATCGTAACAATACTAATGTCTTTCTGATTTTCTTCCTTCATTTTACCTTGTGAAGATCTTTGTGCAGAGCCTCAAGGATAGCATCTTCATGATTTTCAAAGAACGCTACAAGACTTTGCAGTTGTTGTTTACGGAATTCATATTCTCTTGACCGTCCAGTCCTGAATATTTCCCTTGCTGTTTTTACAACCATCTGTCATTTCATATAAATTATGAGTTAAATYATTGTATATTTTAKACATTATTTTCATGTTAGTAATAGTAATTTTGTTTTATATCGTTTTGTTA